AAGTCTCAGAATTATTAGAGAAGAAAATAAAAAAAAGCTAAAGCTTCTTCTTCAATTGCTGAAAATGAAGAACCATCTTCTTCAAAAACTCTTACATAAGCGAAAATATTTACATGACAGATGTACAAAAAAGATAACAGAAATAACATGAATGACAACAATTATCTTTTTGTGAAGAGAGAGAGTTAATTCTCAGATTTATTTCCACATAATTGTAAAATATTAAGTTACTTATATCTATGTAAATACTGATGTAAAACTTGTCTCAGAATTATACAAATACAGTTTAATCCTTATGATATATTTAGAAGATGATAGTCTTTTAAAAGAAGTGCCAAAACCATTTATTGAAGCGGTGGATACCTTTCACCAAGTTGTCGAACATTGGAATTTATTTATCAAATTATATCAAACTCATTCTGAGATTATTTCCTTAAAACAAATTGGAATTAGCAGTGAATCTTGCACCCCAAAATACAAATCTATAGAAAAATTATTTCAGAGAGAAACAACTGAATAATTATACCAAATATGGATTGAAACGAAGAAAATTAGTCATTCAAATATTTGAGTATATTATTGCTCAGAAAAATTATTAATATACAGTCACTGTAAGCAACCTACTAAAAAGATACACAAATTAATGTATAAGAAGTGAATCTCAATTGTTAGCAAAAACAACTTAGCCGTCAACAAAGAGACAAAAATTATTCTTCTGTCAGAAATTACGAAAGAACACTCACAAATGTACGTACTGTAAGAAAAGAGATACGATACAAGAAATTCGAGAAAAAACTTCAAGCAATGAGTAGTTAGAGCCAGATGTAAGAAGATAAGCATAAAGACGTACTAATCAAGTATTCTCCAGCAGCTCACCATCTAAAGTAAAAGAATATTATGAGAATTATTTCGATAAAGTTAGATGCTCACTTATCACAAAAGAATATTCTGAGAATTATTCCGACAAATGCAAATGCCAAATTGCTCAGCTAGCCTGGAAAAACAACAACAATTATGTATTCCACTTAACAAATACATAAGCAATAACGAATATTGCGAGCTCTTCTCGTCTATTTAAAGCTTTTCCTTCTCTTGTTAGAGGCAGAGTGAATTAAATCTTATTTTCTCTTCTTATTCTTCTTTTGTTGTAATATAATGTCTTTTGGCCACAACGACTAAATATTATCTTTTTGCTCAGTGCCTGTAAATTTGTTTTTAATTTATTAATGGCTATTATTATTCTGCTCGTTTGTTTAAATATATATTTTATTCTGTCTTGATTCTTATCTTTTCTAGCTATACATAGGATACTAAACGAATTAATGCTGTGCTTTAAATCTCTAAAGTACTTACATAAGGTTGTGGTCTGTTAAGGACCTTAAGGGTCATGTTGAGCCTTAAATTTCTCTAGAAAACCACAAAGAAAAGTGTAAGATAAACCGGAGATTCTAAGGTCAAACCCTAGAATCGTAAGATATCAAACATGATAACATTATCTTAAACAATCTTCCGGAAGCGTAATGGACTCTTATACTTTATTAAAACAAAATTGCAGGCAGAAGAGTATGCATAATTTATTAATCGTGGAAGAAATAAGAAAGTTTGAAACATGATTAAAGAAATTTAAGAAAAATCTAAGAAATGAAATTAGAGAAATTGAAGAATTACAATATAGATTAAAAAATAATCTAAATTTAGAACATTCTCCTAAACGAAAATCTTTAAAAATAGGAGAAACTTCAAGTACTTCTAGAGCTTACAAAACCCAGAAATTCTTGGATAGTCTAATTAGACTAAATATAACTCTCATGGAAACATACAAGGATTTATACGTATTAACGAAATCATTTCAGTTGATGAACCATCTTCTTTTGAAAATGAGATAAAAGACATAAGTAATGTGTTAACCGAACACCAATTTATGACTACTCCAGTTAGTTATCCGTTTGTAGATACTCCTTCCTCTAATAGACCTATGGAATTACCATCCTCTTCCTCTACAAATGAAGCCAGTACAAGTCAAAATACAGGTTATTATCTTCGGTATTTACCTCCCAGCATTAAAAGAATTCCCACGTACAGATCTTATTTTTTTATATTTTCTTAAAGAATTTTTTTTTTACTTTTGCAGAGTAATTACATTTATTATTAGAGGAATAACATCTCCACTGATTTGAGACTAGGTTAGATTTCTCGCCACATAACGATTGTTTATATTGTTTATTTTACTTATGTAAAACTATATGCTGACATGCTTCTGCTAATTTTTCTAAAGCATAATGTATTTGACTTTCTAGAGTTATATCGTTTTGATGTTTTGTGGTAAACCCTTGGCTCCATATAATGTTATATGGTTCTGATAATTTGTAAAAATACATGTCTAAATATATTAGTCGGTCATCAACTAAATTATCATAAAAATATTTTAGATATTCACTTTTATATTCATTTAAATAACAAATGTTACAGGTGTTTAGAGTTGTTATTTTCTGC